GGGTGTGGTAGCGCGCGCCTGGAGTTCCAGCTACTTGGAAGGTTGAGGAGGAAGGATTGCTGGAGCCCAGCAGGTCGAGGCTGCAGTGGCTGCCCCCAGGTGACAGAGTGAGACTTCAACTCAAAAAAAAAACCAAAAAAAATTATTTTAGGGCCAGGTATGGTGGCTCACGCCTGTAATCCTAGCACTTTGGGAGGCCAAAGTATGAGGATTGCTTAATCCCAGAGTTTGAGACCAGTCTGGACAATATAGAGAGACCTCATCTCTACAAAAAATAAAAAAAAATTTGCTGAGTGTGGTGGTGTGCACCTGTGGTCCCATCTACTTGGGAAGCTGAGATGGAAGGATTGCCTGAGCTCAGGAGCTTGAGGCTATGGTGAGCTGTGATTATGCCATTGCACCCCAGTCTAGGTGACAGTGAGATCCTGACTCAAAATCACATTTAAAACATTTTTTTTATTGTGGAAAATTTCAAATGTAGATGCTAATAGAAAAGCATAGTAAGCTCCCAGATACCGTCACTGATATTTAACCAATTCTCAGTTTTGTTTTATTTGTATGAACACCTATTGTGTATCCTCCTCCTATGTCCCCAGTTATTTTGAATTAAATCTTATACATAATTATCACTTGCTCTATATCAGAATGTGTTTTAAAAAGCACAATCCATTATCACACTTATGAAAATTATTTCATTTAAAAATGCTATTGACCAGGTGTGGTGGCTCAAGCCTGTAATCCCAGCATTTTGGGAGGCCAAGGTGAGAGGATTGCCTGAGCCCAGCCTGGGCAACTTGGTGACACTGCATCTCTACAATAAATCAAAATAAAATTAGCCCAGTGTGGTAGTGTTTGCCTGTAGTTCTGGCTACTTGGAAGGCTGAAGTGGAAGGATCACCTGGAGCCCAGCAGGTCGATGCTGAGGTGGCCATGAGCGTGCCACTGCACTCCAGCCTGGGCGACAGTGAGACCCCCCAACTCAAAAAAATAAAATAAAATAGGTATTATTTGGGAGGCAGGTGACAGGGAGGGTGTTCAAAAAAGAAAAATCTAGTATTCAAATTTCTCTAGTCGTCTCATAAATAATTTTTATGGCACAAATCAGGGTTCATATAAGGAACATACATAAGTCTTTTAAAAATCTATACATTTCCCTTCCATCTTTGCCCTCTCCGCCCCTGCATTTATTTTGTAGATGAAACGGAGTCATTTGTCATATAGAATGATGTACAGTCTAGATTTTGCTGATTGTATCACATGGTGTGGCTAAACCGTTCCTCTGGTGTGTTTCCCATAAATGCATAATTAGATGGAAAGATTTGATCAGATTTCAACTAGTCTTTATTTTTTTATAAGGATATTTGAGAGGTAGTGATATATACTTCTGACTTCCTCAGGGAAGACATAATGTCTTCTTGGCTCTCTTTATGATGTTAGTAGCTATTAGTTATCACTGCCTAGTTCCATTAATTAGATTTCTATATCTATTACTGTGTCAAATTTTCTATTCCTTATCTGTCGGTGCTGCATTCTGAGTCATTTCTTCAATGATAAGTTTCCGTTCACTGTATCATTCCTTTAAAAAAAATTTTTTTTTTTCTAGTTGAAACCTCACTCTTGTCACCCAGGCTGGAGTGAGTGGTACTGTCATGGCCACCACAGACTTGACCTACTGGGCTTAGGTGATCCTTTTGCCTCAACCTTCCACGTAGCTGGAACCATATGCGTATGCCACCATGCCTGGCTAATTTTTTGATTTATTGTAGAGATGGGATCTCACCAAGTTGCCTAGGCTGGAAAAAAATTTTTTTAATTTTAATTTTTCTATTTTTATAGAGATGAGGTCTCACTGTGTTGTCCAGGCTAGTCTTAAACTCCTGACTCAAGCAATTCTCTTACCTCAGCCTGACTTAAACTCCTGACTTAAACTCCTGACTCAAGCAATTCTCTTACCTCAGCCTCCCAACATGCTGGGATTACAGGTATGAGCCATCATGCCCAGCCTTTTTTTTTTTTTTTTTTTTTTTTGAGTCGGAGTCTCACTCTGTTACCAGGGCTAGAGTACAGTGGCATGCTCACGGCCACCACAGCCTTGACCTACTGGGCTCAGGTGATCCTCCTGCTTCAGCCTTCTAAGTAGCTAGAACTACAGGTATGTGCCACTACACCCAGCTAATTTTTAAAATTTATTGTAGAGATGTGGTCTTGCCATGTTGCCCAGGCTGGACTTGAACTCATGGGCTTGGGTATTCTTCTCATCTCTGCCTCCCAAAGTGCTGGAATTATAGGCATGAGCCACTACACCCAGCTTCTTCTTCTTTTTTTTTTTTGAGTCAGAGTGTTACTTTGTTGCCCAGCCTGGAGTCTGGTGGCATGATCACAGCTCACTGTAGCCTCGACCTCCTGGGCTCAGGTGAGCCTTCTGCCTCAGCCTCCCAAGTAGCTGGGAGTACAGGCACATGCCACCATGCCCAGCTATCATCATTAGTTATATCTAACCTACTATTTAATCTGTTGACTTTCTAATGTTGACTTTTCATTTTTTTAAATTCAATTTTTGAAGTCTGTTAATTCCTAATAGTTCTTATTAATTGATCATCTTTATGTCTGCTTCCTTAACTTTAAGCATTTTATACAGAACATACAACTGTTATCTGTATCTAACAATCCTAATGTCAGCAGTCTTTGGAGGTCCATTGCTTCTTATGTCTGCTGACTCTCATGGTAGCTTTGCCTTCTTTTTGGTAGAGACAGTCTCAATATGTTGTTCAGGCTGGTCTCAAACTCAGCCTCAAGCGATCCTCCCGCCTTGGCTGTAGCTTTCCTTCTTATGAGTCTGGTTATCCTTATGTTCATTACTTGGTGTTAATCAGGGAGAGTTGTATGGGCCTAAATTAGAATTGAGAATATTTTCCTTCGGAGAGGATTTACCACTGCTTTTGCAATAGCTGAAAGACGCCATCCACTTGTATCTCCATTGGTGCCTCTCTGAGTCTCGTACAAGAGACTCAGGCTCGGCGTCCCCTCCTGAGGTTGGCATCAGGCTGTTTCCAGATAGCAGAGTAGCCATGGCCATTTGCCTGTTGGTAGCCCTGCCTCTCCCAACTGTCCACCCCTGACCCCAATTCCTTGGTGCTCTGCTCCCAACTCAAGTTTAGCTTTGGTTTTTTTGAAGAGTGATGATGCTTGGAAATTTCCTCACTTCTTGGGAGACCAGCAGTGTCTTAAGGTTCATTACCTTTCCAGAGTTTAGATGTTCTGCTATAGAATGTCCTAAGCACCCACTCAGTCATGATGCCAGAATTAGAAGAATCTGGCACCGGAACACCCAACCCTGGGTGTATGTGTTTGTATCTCTCCAGGAATTCATTGAAGAGTTGCTTTCTCCCCCTTTTGGGGGTCTGGTGGCATTTGTGAAAGAGGCTGAGGCTTTGATTGAGCGTGGGCAGGCTGAGCGACTTCGAGGGGAAGAAGGTATGAGGATGGTGTGGTAGTGGTGTGGTAGTGGTGTGGTAGTGGTGGGATCAGTGATCAGGTGAGTAGAAAAGAAAAACGATAGAATGCAGATGATATGAGGAGGGGGTACAGCAGGAAAGACTGGGATGGGAGACTACCTGAAAAGAGGGGTTTAATGGTGAGGATGGCTATTCCTTGGGAAGGACTTAGTGGGGATGAAGATCACCCCGACAGATCCCTCTCTGACATTCTCTCTTTCTTCCTACTATCAGCCCGGGTAACTCAGCTGATTCGTGGCTTTGGTAGTTCTTGGAAGTCATCGGTAGAGTCTCTGAGTCAGGACGTAATGCGGAGTTTCACCAACTTCAGAAATGGAACCAGTATCATCCAGGTGACCTGCAATTCCCAGACCCTACTCCCGTCCCCCATTACTTATTTTACCCCCAGGTTTCCTTGGGCTCAGCATCACCTATATGACCCTTGATCTTCAACTACTAGCTGTGCCTAAGGTTCAGGATGAGCCCTAACCAGTTTCCTGTCATCATCATTAGCACCACCTCACAATCTGATCCTTCCATGACTTTCTCTGATCAGGGAGCATTGACCCAGCTGATCCAGCTCTACCATCGCTTCCACCGGGTGCTGTCCCAGCCTCAGCTGCGAGCCCTCCCTGCCCGGGCTGAGCTCATCAACATCCACCACCTTATGGTGGAACTCAAGAAGCATAAACCCAACTTCTGATATGCTGGGATCTGCCATTCCTCCCCATGGACTTCTGCTCCTCCACCCCACACCCTTCTTCACCTGGTTCCCCTTCCAGTTTTCCACCTTGTCCCCCAGGCCCTTAACTCAGCCTGCATTCCCAGCATCCTGCTTCAGCAGGATAAGCTGGACCCCCTTGGCCTTTTGTCTCCCAGTGTCTTTAGGTTTCCCAAGATCACTTCCCCACTGATCTTTATCATTTTCCCAATTTGTCAGCCTTCTCCCCTGTTCCCACACACCCAGGGCTTGTTTCTTCTGTAAAAACCTCGCTGCCTCAGTCTCTGGTTCACTCGACTCTTGTCACCGTGTCCTGAGACAGGAAGCCTCGACTCTTGCAGTTGGTGGCAAGGGGTGACTGCCTCCAAGTTATTGTTAATTTTTGCCCCCAAAGTGATTTCTTTTCTGTAGCTTTTGACCTAAGATCTCAGCAACTTGAACACTAACTTATCCCCTCCTGGCTTGAGAATTACTCCAAGGTCAATCTGCAGAAATAATAAATATTTAATATGACAACCCTCTTCTATTTCCTTTCTCCTGAGTCCTTCAAGTGGTTGCATCTCTTTTCCGGAGTCACCTTACCTCTCTGACTGCTTCCTGGACTTAGAGCCCTCCTGGTATGCATCCAGAAAGAAGGCACAGATGGTAACCTCTAACTTCTAGCTACTTCAGGCCAAAGAGGTGGCTGTGTAGTTTTTTTTTGGGGGGGGGACTGTTTCTTAACTAACCAACCCCTTGGGTTAAAAATGGTAGATACCTCAAATGCTAGGAATGAGGCAGTGCAGGCCTCATGCACTGTCCCCAGGGCTACCTTGGGAAAAGCCCAAGTTGATGCTGGGATTGCTTCCTCTCTCTCAGCGGCAGCTCCGCAGCTCTTCTGATTGTGATTGTCACAGCCCTTTGCTGGAGGGCTGCAGCACCCACAACCTTGGGGCAGAGGTAGACCAGGTTCGTGATTTACCCATCTCGTCCATTTCTGTGTTTGGCTTGGAGCCTTCCTGCTGCTTCCGCCTATACGCCTCATTTGAACTTCATCTCTAGACTGGATAGACACTGGGGCGCCTTTAAGTCCTAAGGGTAAAGACGCTGTCAAAGGAAAATACCATCCCTCCCTACGTCCCAGACGAACGATGGAAAGAAATGGGTTTCTATTCGCCGCTCAGACCCTCCTGATGCGGGCCTAGCCCGCAGGGGAGGGGAGGTGCCCTGAGAAGTGCCGCCTGTGGTCAGAGCTGGGGTCGGTGGTTGCGGATGTGTTCTGAGGCCAAGCTAGAGTTGGCCCGGCTGACAGGCTCTCCTATTGGTCGCTGCAAGATGGAGGCGTAACAAGGCAGGCGCCAGCTCCCGGTTGTTGTCTTCTTAAAGCTCCACCCCGTCCCCGAAAGCGGCGCTGATTGGCTTGGAACCCATATCCCAGCACTTCGGCCGTGCAGCTTTGAACGTGTTTGCGCCAAGGCCGGAGGGCAAAGGAGGGAGGAAGGGAGGGGTGGAGGACCCAGAGCGACTCCTGATTGGTCCAGACGGCTAGGGGGCGGGCCATGACTGTACTTAGCTGACCTCGCCCGGTCCACGGCCTCAGCCCCTCCTCTCGGGATGTTACTGGTTTACCCCTCCCCATACGTTCCTTGATGCCTGCTTGCGGGGTGCGAGCGGTGGTGTGCTGGGCTCTGAGGGGCTGCGAGCTCACCCTAGTCACCAGCCCCAGGAATCCTCTACCTTCCCTTCCCGCTTCTCTTTTCTCGCCCACCTACTCCCTTACGGGGATCGATCTTAGGAGATCCAGATGTTCTGGCATTTGGGGTAACTTCGGCCTCAGCGCTAGGAGGACGGGAGAAGGGCCATTTGAGATTTGGGACAGGAAAGGCAACGGCTGCTTTGACAAAGAGGGCGGGTTCCCAAAGAAAATGTTCCCAGGTACACAGGCGACTTCATGGGAAGTCCGCTAACGCTCCGGTGGGAGAAGCTTGTGCAGGCAGGCACCGTGGTTCTTAACAGTTTTGATCCTTTCCTCCCCCCTCCATCCCCGAGCCCAAATATTCAGACTTGATGGGATAAGCGCGGGGTTCTGCAATCTCGCTGAGACGCATTGCTGGAATGTGAGTGGTGGGGCTGAGGGGCAGCGAGGGAGACTCCTGATTCTGGAGCCCGGTAGGCATTCAGATGATACTGGAACACGCAGTTTTCGAGGACGTCTGGCGCCCTCGGAGGTCACTAGGAGCCCTCTGACCCAACGGTCTCTCAGGACTGGGAAGATCCAGAACCGAGACAGGACTCGAAATAGCGTGAAAGGGAGCAGCGATACCCATACTGACCTCCAGGGAGCAGCATGGACCAGAGGATGAGCTCTTCTCGTTCAGCTCAAACCCTGACCAGTGTCTTCGGCTTGCTCCACGCCCTCTTCACTCTGAAGCTGCGGAGGGACTTCTCCTTCAACCCCCAAACCCTCTGTTCTGTGGTTAGATCCTCAGGCAGAACTTCTGGGGAACATCATCCCTCAATCTTCTCCCTCAGTGACGTCACGGACTCAGAAGCATCTGGAATCAGTCCGTAGGACGAAGCTGTGGCAATATCCTCGTTGCCTCTCTCTGCTGATCTCGGAGACCGGTGTCTGTATTGGTACAAGGGCCCCTAGCGTCACACAGGAAGGACTTGGAGATGTCCTCATGGGCTGTAATGTAATCCCCCAGTGCTATTCAGGGATCTTTCTCTTTTAAAGAATTGTCCCCTACGCGGTGGCTCACGCCTGTAATCCCAGCACTTTGTGAGGCCGAGGTGAGAAGATTGCCTGAGCTCCCGGGTTCGAGACCAGCCTGGGCAGCTTGGCGAGACCTCATCTCTACAATAAATCAAAAAATTAGCCGGGTGTGGTGGCATGCCTGTAGTTCCAACTACTTGGAAGGCGGAGGCTGAAGGATCACCTGAAACCAGTAGGTCGACGCTGGGGTGGCCGTGAGCCTGCCACTGCACTCCAACCCGGGCCACAGAGTGACTCCAACTCAAAAAAAAAAAAAAAAAGAATTGTCCCCTATTGCTCTACCTTTGTGCCCTCAACTTGCCCTGAGTTGATTTTTTTTTTTTGAGTTGGGGTCTCACTCCTTAGGCCAGGCTGGAGCATGCTCACGACCACTGCAGCCTCGACCTGATGGGCTCCGGCGATCCTCCGCCTCAGCCTTACAAGCTTCCAAGTAGCCGGAACTACAGGCACGCGCTACCAGACCCGGCTGATTTAAAAAAATTTTTTTATTGTAGAGAGGAGGTCTCGTCAAATTGCCCCGGATGGTTTCGAACTGGCGGACTCAGGTAGTCCACTTGCCTCGGCCTCCCAAAGTGCTGGGATTACAGGCTGAGCCACTGAGCCCGGACTGGATTGATTCTTACCTGGGTTTTCTGGAAAACATTTACCCCATGTTCAACAGCACGGTCTCTGCATAATACAGGGGGAGTGTTGCCCATCAGCATCAATGTCACAGCTACTTAGTATGGACAAAAGAAAAAAGGGATGGCCTCCTTTCCTCCTACCTTATAAATATAGACCCACCTACCCTCCCCATAAGAAGGGTGGCTCTTCTGACTTTAGGATATCAGGCATTCTGGGGTGCAGGCCTGCTGGGTTCCAAAATAAAGTAATCAGACTTAGTGTAAAGATTCAAGGAAAGAAAGAAAGCAAGAATAAAACAAAATTTTGAGGAGAATAGAAATCAACTCTCTTCATCCTGGGCATAATGGATATAGCTATTCATGTTACATACTAGAGTAAAAAAGTGTTTTCAGATACTATATTCATGAAACCAATGCATATTTATTGATGCCCTTCTCTGTGTTCTGTGATAGGCACTGTGGAGAAGTAATCAAATTCCCCAGTCTCATAGAGCACACATCCTGTCTCTCTGAATTTGCACACCAACTCTGTGAGGTATTCTTCCTATCTTTGTTCCATGATTCCAGGCTGGGATTACAGGACTGGAGGAAAAGCTGAATAGGCGATCTTCAGGAAAGACAGAGGTTGGAATGGTTCCAGCATCTAGGTAGCAAGGACCAATGGTGAGTCTTCTACCTTGGATCAAAGGGAGCGAACTCTGGCCTAGGTTGGCCCAGGTGCCCACACTCAGCTGAGGGAGGTGAGGGATCCTTGAAGATTAGTACCCCCAGACTGTCCAATGTTGGAGGATAGTGGCCCTCATGCAGAAAACAGGACCAGAAGAATGGGGAATAGATGCTAGGTGGCAAAATCCAACAAATGTCCATGTGCTCAAATCCCAGTTCGATCACTGACAGACATGCGGCCCTCTGAGTGTCAATCTGATTAATATCAGATCTCTTGTGTTTTCTCTCACCATTGTGATACATACAGTAGTTTCCTTTGCCTTCACCTTGTTTTTCCATAAGGCAACAGTTTTAAAATAAAGAAATAAAAATAAAATTATTTCTTGTCTTAGTCTATTCAAGTGCAAACTACTAATATTAAGTAAACTTAGAGAGCATTTGCTAGAGGAGGACCAAGTAAAACTTAGAAGACATAATATTTTGTATGTATGCACACGTGTGTGTGTGCGTGATGGAAAGTATGCTTGTCCTGCCCCAAGTCATGACCATGCCCCTCTCAGCAGAAGCTTGTCTCCATCTCTTTTGGAAAAAGTTTACTAAAATGCAACTAATAAATAAATAAGATATTGGAGCAAGGTCAAGACTTTACTATTGCTTCCATATATTTTGTTTTATTAATGTAGCAAAAAAAAAATTTTTTTTTAGTTGGAATCTCACTCCGTCACTCAGATTGGGGTGCAGTGGCTGCTCCCAGCCACTGCAGCCTCGACCTGCTGGGCTCCGGCGATCCTTCCGCCTCAGCCTTCCAAGTAGCTGGAACTACAGGCGCATGCTACCACGCCTGGCTAATTTTTGATTTATTGTAGAGATGAGGTCTCGCCAAGTGCAAAAAAATTTTTTTTGAAAAACATAACGAAGTACTTACCTTATGGAGGAAGAGTTTATGATAAACATGAGACAGTGTACATCCCCGGGCACAGAGTAATTCCTCAGGAAATGTTAGTTCCTCTCTGTTTCTGTGTGACATGAAGGACATCCCAGGGCCAACACCACTTCCTGGTGGCTTCCTGACTTCAGTCCTGTGTGTCTCACTGAAGAAACATGTCTTCCAGATTTCTGACCCCACATCCCATGTCCTCTGCCTTTGAGGTTCTCTTATCTTCAAAGCATAAAGTGCCATTGTCCGTATGAGCTAGAAAATGTCTTCTAAACAACCATCTGCCTTGGGAATAATGATGTGGCTGAGTTGAAAAGCCAATATGTTTTCTGGGGACTCACTTGATGCTTTGAGTCAAACAGCTGGAGAATATTGTCGCTGAGTACTAGGAGTTTTTCTCCCCATCTTTCCTCCACATGTCACATCCTTGGAAGCTTTGGATAGTGGAGGAGCTTCAATAGTGGTTCAGATGGAAGCACAGCAGGTATGTGGAGTACCCACTCCCTGATCCTTGAGACAAGGCTTAGGAGGGAAGAAAG